CAACAGAGAGACTGATCGCAGTCTCTGTTCTCAACCAAGAAGTTTGCTTGTAACATCAGAGAACAGTTGTTTCTTTATTGACATGATTGCGATGCACCGTTTGAAATGGATTTAGTGGCAATATGTTACTCAAGTTTTTCCGTTTGAATCACTCAACTAAGTTTAAATGCTTTCAGTTTGCATTAAGGGACCGGTAGGTAGGATTCAAACGTCCGTTACATTTCCCCCTCTCGCGTTACACTTGATTTAAAATTTAACTCGTCGATCATAACAAAAAGTTATATTAAAACATAAAACCTTTATTTCAATACGATAAGAATCAAGGCTACAAAGCTTGTGGGTTCGTATATCCTACTACATTAAAATACGTTAATTAAAATATATAAGTGTTAAAGTGGGAGACTGCTTTACCACAGATTATTAGTCATCAAAGGGAGATGACAGGTAAGTCATGCTCTGATTGTTCAATGCTACACGTATTAGCGTACATGAAAATGTCTCCAAGTGAGACTTTATCCATCCTCAAAATGCCATTAATTACTGTATAGGTTAAACTGATTTCTCAGAAAATCATGAAATATAATGAATGAGAAAATATCACTTTTAAAATGAAAAGTATTTATTTTAATATTTTAGTTAAAAGATTATGATTACCGTGGAACTGAATATCGACACAATTCACCACTATGATACAAAAAATACAGTTCTATGATACAAAAACTATAGTCAAGCTGTTTATTAAGGTGTTGATATTTCCAAGGAAACGATCAGTGGAAAAATTCGAAATAGGAGGATAAGCTCGAATTCTATAAAACACAGATTTCCTAAACTGGATAAATTTCCACAGCTATGAATGAATTTACTTGCTGGTATCTTCCAAACTTTGGTTCTGCGTTCACAGTTTATAATTTTACGTCCTGGTTAAAATAATGGAGAACATAAATTTACAGAATATCGTAATCCGTGAAATAGTAACGCGACATTTTCTTCGGTTCACTCCCTTCATCGTTGAATTTGTGCGTGAAAATCGACTAAATGTCCATGGTTCAAAAACGTATATTATATCTCTTCAACGCATATTTTGGTGTTATTTTGAAGCAAATACATCAAAGTGTTTTTCATTCGTCGGTCAATTTATTTTATCACACACTAACTTAACTGTTGAAAGTGCTTTTGGGAAAATCCTGGTATGCACATGTCAGTATATTATTGAATATCAATAATGTCGTGTTTTTNTTTTGCTAATGGCAACCGTAGTGTAAAGGACATCATGACTTCGCAAACACGTCGACCTTAACGTTTTGTGGTTGAGTATTTATATAGACTGTAATGAAAATAATGATTAGATAAGGTTTGGCAAAAAAGCAAATGAATGACAGAGTAGTGACGTCACTTTGCGATATGATGACACTAAATTATCTTCTGTTAGTAGAGTTTATGTTTGCATCATGTTTTGTTAATTTGGTGGCTTTAACTTTCACAGTTTTTAGGTTAAAGGGTCTCAAGTCTTTTAAAATTGTCTCTTGTGAATATAGCTGACTAACTGGCGTTGAAAATCACTTCCATCTTCAGTTTGATAAAGACATTGGAAACAAGGTTGTATGTTTTCGACAAAAGAGCTGCAGATGAGCACTTGCCAGCGGCTCGTCTTCCCATGACATTTATCGTTATCCAAATCGTTCACTCAGACATTTTGGGCTATTTTATTTGGGTTAGTTAATGCGTTATACATGCTGAGTCCGCTGTTTTGGTGAGGTTGTGTGAGGCAAAAACAAATGAAATCAAGATGAACGACTAACAATTTCAACCATTCTTTCTGTATACCTAATGATGATATTGGTCTTGACTTGAAAAAATAAATAAATAAATAAATAAAAAACCAAACGTAGAAAATCCCATGCATCTATATAGGAGTGGTATTTGACATGCATGCTTGAAAGGAAATTGTCACGTACAGTCGATATGGTGTCTTGGCCTGTGATGTTTTCCTCAGTTGTAGTTAAGTAGAGTAGTTTCCTCAGAGTATTTGCATTTTGTTTTAGCAATATTATTTGATGTGCGTGCAGTGAATATAAATGCTTAATCCAATACTCCAAGCGGCTGGTCAGTGGACTTTGACAGAAATTGAAGGATAGGATATACTCTGTTTAAGGATTTTTGTCGCTTTTCGTGTTTGTTTGGATTCCAAAAGGTAAAAAAAAAAAACGATTCAAACAAAGCAGAAATTTTCGTAAAGGAAGTAACTAATCACAGAAACTAAGTTTATATACGTTCTGTGTATCCATTTATCTTTAATGCTGCTTTTGTTTGAATTATCAAGATGAAATTATGAAAAATTTTCAAAGGTTTGTTTAAACTATCATTTTAGAACTTAATGAATACGTCACGTTCTTGCTTCTGGGTAATCACTAGTGTAAAATGATTACCTCCGGCTCCTATAGATGACATAAATTTCCATGTCCAGTTTTGCTTTTTATTTCTTAATGTTAAATATCAAGACATCTAGCTTGAAAATTGGCAGCTTCGGGTGGCCTTCAATTCTGAATTTATTACTGTAGTGTTAATCGAAGGAGTTCAACAAAATTTTTACATTAAGATCCTCGTAAATCTGTGTAGCTAACGTTTACCCCGATGCTGCTATGAACTCTCTCTTCAATCTGTTCAAACCTATTTTTAGGTCTCCAATGCAAGCTCCAAACGATTCTACCGGTCGTAAACTGTTAGTCGGAGTTTTACTGAAGCCACTTGCAACGTCCATGCTTGTTTCCTTTCCGGCGTCATTTGATTGACAAGCCCATTTTCTTTACTTAAGCACTTAAAGGCAACTAACTTCTCATCAAGGTCAAAGGTCATCTCATTTGTCAGCACGCCACTGTTGGAAAATTTCAAAGAGATTTACACAGCGACCATGGACGCAAATTGGGAAAGGATACAATTTTTGCTTTGCTCTTATAACTTATCTAAAAAGCTAACACTTTTCTTTTGGGTCATCTACATTGTCCTCTCAATTGCTACAGTGTCAGGAAA